CGTAAATGGGGGAAACCTCCAAAAAAATTACAAATTTAAAAATGGCTAATTTTCGAAATGTTTTCAATTTTTTTTACTAAAAACTGCCGTAACTTTTTTAAAAAAAAACATATCAATATAATTTTTTTTTATACAGAGTGGCCAACCACTCACTGACAACTTAAATAACTTTTGATCCAGTTAATATTTTTAGCTGATTTTTTTTTTAAACATTAGTTAGACGTTAGGTCTATAGCTATATGTCAATAATTAATTTTTTTACATTATATTAAAAAAATTAATTATTTTTAAATTTTAAATAAAATGTAAAAAAAAAATCTAAGATAGCTATTTTGTAGAGTAGAATTTAAGAAAAATTTTAGTAAAAAAATATCTTATTAATATTCAGTAGTAAATATTCTGTAGCGTTTTGAAGTTTGTGAAAATTTGAATTTTCATGTATTATTTTACGGTATTAAACATTGAAATACGTATTGAGAAAAGGACAGAAGAAAACGCTATCTTTTCAATATACTTTTGAATGAGAGTGATAAGTAATAATTGCCTTATCTAATTTCTTATCATGGTATTAATGCCAAGTTTGTAATGTATACACATTATCATCTTATGTATACACAGTAATCATGAAAAGATAGCGTTTTCTTCTGTCCTTTTCTCAATACGTATTTCAATGTTTAATACCGTAAAATAATACATGAAAATTCAAATTTTCACAAACTTCAAAACGCTACAGAATATTTACTACTGAATATTAATAAGATATTTTTTTACTAAAATGTAAAAAAATTAATTATTGAGATATAGCTAAAGACCTAACGTATAACTATTATTTTTAAAAAAAATCAGCTAAAAATATTAACTGGATCAAAAGTTATTTAAGTTGTCAGTGAGTGGTGGGCCACCCTGTATAGATGCTTGATGTCCTTACTTATCATTTGGTATATTTTTTTTGTAAATTTGACCTTTTTTCTGCCCACAGGGGAGGATTTAAAATGACAACTTTTTCACAAAAAATTAACTTTTTCAACTTAACTTTTAAAAATGTACTGGAAGGTCTGACACTTTTATATATATATCTTAAATTAAAGCTAATGTAATGTACTTTAATTTGAAAAAAAAAAATTTGACCTCTGGACTTGTCTTCATGGTGAAAACGGCTACCGAATGCTATTTTTGTGTGAAAATTTTCGATTTTATAATTTACATTTTTTACTTTAAAGTGCTATAACTTTTTAAAAAATGTATGGATCAATACAATTTTTTCATGAGAAGTAGTATTTATATACATCTTTCATTGGATATACTTTTTTTTTAAATCAGACTATTTCCCTATATATGGGGGGGCTTAAAATATAAAAAATGCATATAGAATGTATAACTTTTTCAACTTAACTTTTGAAAATGTTCCGGAAGGTCTGACACTTTTATATATATCTTAAATTAAAGCTAATGTAATATACTTTAATTTGAAAAAAAAAAATTTGACCTCTGGACTTGTCTTCGTGGTGAAAGTTGACATCAAAGTTAATAAAAAATTACGATTTTTGTAAAATAATTTTTTTTTATATTTTTTACTTAATAATGGTCTAACTTTTTCAAAAATGAACATATCAATATAAATTTTTTTTATATAGATGCTTGATGTCTTTACTTATCATTTGGTATATTTTTTTTGTAAATCTGACACTTAACCTGCCCACAGGGGGGGATTTAAAATGACAACTTTTTCACAAAAAATTTACTTTTTCAACATAACTTTTGAAAATGTTCCGGAAGGTCTGACACTTTTATATATATCTTAAATTAAAGCTAATGTAATATACTTTAATTTGAAAAAAAAAAATTTGACCTCTGGACTTGTCTTCACGGCGAAAATGGCTACCGAATGCTATTTTCGTGTGAAAATTCTCGATTTTATTATTTATATTATATTTAACTTTATAATGCTATAACTTTTTGAAAAGTTTATGGATCCACACAATTTTTTTATGAGAAATAATATTTTTTAATAAACCCTTTTTTATTCGACATACTTTATCTTAATCGAGATATTAATAAGGAACCAGCAGATCATGTAGCTTTTGGAATAAAACATCAATTTTTTTAAAATTAAACACTATCTAAAGATTTGCATCGAAGCGTTTATTTTTGATAGTGATTTTAATCACTGTCAGATATCATTATACTTGATCCAACTATGCCACGTCACCACTGTGCCGCGACCCCCCTGTGCTGGTTTTTTTTTTTAAATTTAGGTTAATTTATTGTTATTCGTTATAATCGTTTTTTTTTTTATATTTTCCATATTTTTATTTAATTTTTAAATTTTGTTAAATAAATGAGATACAAAATACAATTTGTGGGTTTATATTCCTTATTATTTGTGAAAATTTTTTACTCTAAAAAGTTCCAATATTTAGAACTCTAGTTTTTTTTTTATTATTGACTTCGCTGTAAAATTTAAAAAAAAATCAGAACAATTACCTACAGCCCGAGGTGTCAGAATTCAGCAAAGCGTTCATATAAAGATAACTTTTAAAATTCTGCACTCATTAAACTTACTTTTTTAAGTTTATGTAATATAATATAAATACATTAATAATAAAAAGGAAAAATTATCCAAAAAACTTATTTATATAAATTATCAACTGATTTTTAGAGCTTAAAATATTTTTTGTTTTTGTAACATGGAAATCATTGGCACTCAGATTATAGTTGGAAATTATAAAAAGCCATGTAAATACAAAAATATTTTGAAACCATTGAAATGCATAAAATTAGGAAGAATAAGGAATGCAAAAACAAAAATATTTAGATGTTATATAAGTAAAAATATTTTTATACTAGTTATATTAAAAATTTTGTAAAATTGCTGACACACATATACAGAGCATTTATTTTATCATAAACCACTCGATTACTAGCAAAATAAATACAATGTCAAAAAAATAATTTTTAATTTCTTTAGTAACATATAATTCTTGATATCTCAGTTAATATTTACTTTTTAGAATCATATCCTAAAAGGGTGTCAACTTTTTTTTCTAAATGGTAACTTACATACTTAATTTTATTCTTAGATCAGTACTTCGTAAGCTTTTTTCATTTTTATACTTAAGTGAGAGAAAGATTACGGCCGAGAAATGAATAGTGATAAAAATAGCATCATTACTTTAAATTGTTAATAACTTCTAAATTACTGGTCTAAAAGTTGTTATCAACCAGTCATTTTCTTAATAAAATTATTTTCAATTTCATAACTAGTGTAAAATGTATGTTGACATAAAAAAAAATGTTGACACCCCTTTATGTTAAGAGGTATCATTCTAAAAATAATTATTTCCTTATAAATCAAGAATTATATGTAACTTAAAGAAATCAAAAATCAATTTTTAATATTTTGTTTATTTTGTGATTGATTAATACAGTGGTTTACGATAATCCGATCACCTTGTACAGAGTGTCTCAAATCTAATTTATAACTCTTATAACTTTCGATCTATTAATATTTCATTATAATTTTTTTAATTATATTTTTTTTTCAATGATTTAAAGCATATTTCTCTTTAATAAAATAATGCAACAACACAAATATTGCTATCATTTGTTATAAAAAAAAAAGTTATAAATGTTGCATTTATATATTTTGAATTTTTATTAAGACTTTTATTAATTCAATTTGTGCATTAGAGTAGGATTAGCCACTTTAGCGATTAGTGCTTTATTGAGTTTTTTAGGACATAAATACATACATATTTAACTATTTTTTTTATGCAAATTTTATGAAAAAACGATGTTCATTGTTACCAAATAATTGATATGTATTTTGAATCATAAATGTGATGAGAGATAAATATTTGATAATTTTATAAAATTTAATCATAAGTATTCGGCTAATTTCAGGTTTAAATTTTAGTAAATATTCGCTTTAATTTTAGACATTTGTTTTGAAATACTCACAAACTACATAATTGCCGTCTTCACAAGAAGCACTATGTTTATAGAACTTCATACTTTATAGCACAAAACTTTATAGGTTGATTTTGGCTTGGTAAACACAGAACAGAATAGTCTTATATATATAATAGTCTGTTATATCCTATGACTTATAAACGCTTAATTAGATATTAAGATTATTATTATTAGATAATAAGCGTAAGTAGACGTAATGTATTGGTTTTTCCAGGTTATAAGGGATTTTTATCGTATCATAAGTAAAAATAAAAAAACTAAAATATCTCCAGGAGCATCACTTGGAGAAGGAGCAACTTGGGAATTAGCTTGGGTCAAATTTTCAGTACATATCGTGAAAATGTTGTCATTTTAAATCCCTCCCAGTGGACAGGTAAAGGGTCAAATTTATAAAAAAAATATACCAAATGATAGATAATGATATCATGCATCTATACAAAGAAAAATTATATTGATATGTTCATTTTTGAAAAAGTTGTAGCAGTTTTTAGTAAAAAAAATTGATAAAATTTCGAAAATTAGCGTTTTTATAAATTTGTAATTTTTTTGGAGGTTTCCCCCATTTACGAAGAACGAGTGAAATTTTTTTTAATTTTTGAGAATAATGTCTTCGACTAGATACGATTTATGATCTTTTGACGTATCGCTGAAAGAAATCCGTTTGGTGAGAGCTGAGAAAAAGTGGTAAAAGACAAAAAAAAACACATCATAGTAAAACCAATACCTTCTCAGCTTCGAATCGAAGCTAAAATAAGTTTTAAAAAGGTCAAATGAGCTTTTCATACTCTCAAATTATGTTTACATAATCTTAATCTTCTAAATTTGGGAACTAAGTCCCTAATTGCACCTTGGCATAACATACTGTGCTCATGTTATAGAAACATAAATAATTTTATAAGAGTAGTCATTTATGTATTTTTAAGTAAGCCAATGACATTTCAAATTAAACGCCTATTTATTGGTTGATTTTGAATAATGCTATAAAAATGTAACTATTAATTAAATTTCAATCATTGTTATTCTTAAAATAAAAAATACTTAGTCACAATGTATTTATTTTCCTTCGATCTTTTGTAGTTCATTACATTTTTATTTAACAAACTCCTCTAAAATGTTTATACTTCATTATTTTTCATTGACTGTCTTAACTTTTTTAGCTGTACAAGATTTAGTATTGTCTTTAACTTCTGTAAGTTACAAGTTTTATATTAAATAGTGTTGTCCTTAATAATATAAAAAAATATTCAATTGACATTAGAGTACACATAATTAATTTTTTTTAACTGCATGCAATAAATAGGAAAGCAGACTTTTATAAATTTTTGGTAAAATATTTATTTATATTTAGTCGGATAAAATAATTTCCTATGGATATCCTCTCGAAATATACCAAACCAAAACAGAAGACGATGCTTTACTCGGAATGGAAAGAATACCTCACGGTAAACGATTTAATGGAACTATTGGAAGACCAGTAATTCTTATGTGTGGATTGCTATCTATCTCATTTCCTTATGTTATGACAAATGTTTCAATGGGTAACTTGACACAATCATCTTTACAATTAAATTTTTGTAGACATTTTTAGAAATGCCCAAAATATCTTATTGTTTAACTTATTGAATAATACAGGTTATATTTTTAATTTTGTCCTTGATAAATAACAATTTATTGCTGCTACTAAGTTCAGTAATCTAATAATATGTTTTAAATATTATTTAAAACTGATTTTTTTTATTTAATTGAAAAAAGAGTTTTTCAAAATGTACAACACTTATTATGACTGTTAATTTATTATTAAAACAATACTAAAAACTTATCTTTCAATTTTTTTTAATATAGCCTATAGTTTGGCTGATGCTGGATTCGATGTTTGGTTACTTAATCATAGAGCTATGGGTTTATCTAAGAATGTAATAGATCCAAAAACAGGGAAAAAGCGTAAACTATCTCAGATTAATTGGAACTACAGGTAATTGATACATGAACATATAACATAAAAAGAACTTATTATTCAAATTCGTCATCAAGCTATCTAACCAATGCTTAAGTTCAATAAAATTGTGTTTATAAAGTTTTTAGTACAATAACATAAGAAATTTTTCACATTTTAGTCTTTTTAAATTTAAGTGGGACATGATTTGTGTTTATTACATTTATGGTAGACTAAGTTAAAAGTAAAATTTCTATAAATAATTTTTACTTTCTAATTGCTATGTTTTGAAAAAATATATAATTAATAAAATAAATAATAATAATATAATGCTTCTTATGAAATTAAATGTCATTCTACGTTTTTTTATATAAATTTCTATATTTTTTTACTTCTGTTATATTCAATGTGATTTTAATCCTACTCTAATTCTTTTAATTCTTATGAGGATAAAATATTTAAAAAAAAATATTTATACTGTAGTCTATTATTAAATGTTATTACTAATTTAGTCATAAACTATCCTTTTAGTATCCATGAACTCGGCGTTTATGATTTTCCTGCAGTTGTTGATTTTGTCTTGAATCATACAAAATATTCCAAGGTAGACGTCGTGGATATTTCTTTAGGGACAGGTATATTGTTGATAGGTTTATCAGAAAGACCTGAGTACAATGCCAAAATTCGTAACAATATAATGATAGCACCAGCTGTAAGGAATGCACATACATTAGGTCTAAGACCTTTTCAACTCAGATATGCACAAATTGCTTTCCCTGTATTTATTGTAAGTTAAAATTTCCACTAAATTTTTATCCATATGTTGTAATTAAAATAATTAGTTAGAAATATTTTTCGTGAGAACTTATTTTATTTCAGGCCATTGGTTTTCACGTAGATAAAGTCTCAAAACAATCTTTAATTAAAGAGTAAAACTACTTTTTTAAATTAACATATTAAATAGAGTATATACCTCAGGGGAGTACATGGCTTCTATATACTAGCGTATAGCGTATAGCGAATCCAGGGCCTCGGCTTCACTGGCGGAAAATTTCAAAAAAGACAATGTACTTAAGTCATACCGCCTAAATGATAAATTTCTGATGGTGACAATAAAATCAAAGTCTAAAAACATTTACATTATACAAGTGTACTTTCCTACATCTAGAAGTAAGGATGAAGAAATTGAAGAGACACACGAACAGATTGAAAAACTCATGCAACTCAAACGTATTTATTATAGGCAATTTTAACGCCTCAATAGGCTATGAAAAAAGTAATTTCTCAGGAAAATATGAACTAGGGAAAAGAAACGAAAGAGGGGCAAGATTTTTATAGTCTTGTGAACAACAGAAACTAATATTAACAAATACATACTTTGAAGTCCCGTTAAGGAGAAGATACACAAAGAATGCTTTTTGGAAATAGAAGTAGGTATCAAATAGATTTCATATCCGTAAAAACTAAGTTCAGAAATGAAATTAAACCAAGCTATGTCTACCTAGGATATGACTTCGACCATAATCTGGTGATGGCAGATTGCAACATCAAATTTAAGAAAAGAACCAAAGTAACAATAAAGAATAAATGGTGCTTTGGAAAACTAAATGGCTAAAATATGACCAAAAAATTCAAAAAGAATTTAGATGAACTGTTTATAGGAGAAAAAAGCTGGTATAGTATAAAGATGGATATAATTAGAGTTGCAAATAAAAAATTGGTAAAAATAAAATAGAACCAAGAATGCCATGAATGATTGGAAAAATTCTTGAATTTATAGAAAGAAGGAACAAATTAAGGGACAGAAATTACAATTTATATAAACAGGTAAAAAACGTGACAATAATATGTAGTCTAGCAAAAGAATGTTGGCTAAATCAAAACATTCAAGTAAAAATAAATAGCCAACAAATACACTGTATTCGCTTTACAGATGACATTGTTATCTCAACAGAGTCAGAATATAATATGAATAATATGCTAAAAATTCTATCAAGTGCACTTAATAAATTTAAAATGAAAACAAATTTTATGAAAACCAAGACAATGTTTATAAGTAAAATACACTCAGACCAAATTCTCAACATACAAATAAACAATACACGATTACAATAAATCCGAGAATTATGCTACCTTGGAAGTATCATAGCCTCCAATAACAAATCAACGTCAAACATCAGAAGAAGAATATCATTGTCAAAGCAAGCATTATAAAACAAGAATCAGCTTCTCACCAATAAAAATCTGAGAATTGGCATACGTAAAAGATTCGTTTAAACATTTGTCTGGAGTGAGGTTTCATATGACAGTGAATATGGACAATTGACAAGAAAGACAGAAGCAAACTAGAAGTATCAGAGTTATGGACATGGAGAAAAAAGACAAAATGGATAAACAAGAAGAGAAATAAGCAAGTGCTAAATGGAGTAAGAGAAGAAAGACAGCTGATGAATGTAATCGATCAAGAAAAATAAAGTTAATCGGACACATCATCCGACACAATGACTTTATTATTAACATCTTCGAAGGAAATAAGAAACTAAAAGGAAACAATATTTTGAATATATCCTTGAACTCATGAACTGTGCATCATTTGTTTTACTGAAGAATTTGGCTGCAAACAGAGAAGAGTGGCTTCAATGACGAGGCATTGCCTTTAATAGATTATGATGAAAATTTAAAAAATATATTTTTGCTAAAAATGTTTAATATATTTGTTTAAATGAACATGCTTTATTAATTTTTTTCAGAGAGTCCTGAAGAGATTAAAATTCTTTGCCTTATCACTAAACCCAGACAATAATATACTAGGATATTTTTGTAGAAATATTTTTTACTATCATTGCTTGGCTATTATGATTTATTTTGATGGATTTCTTAATTCGATAGATCACGTAAGAAAACAGACACTTCAATCGAAAAGGGTCGTAACTACATACTTTTAATTTCCTTGGTCATTATTCTGATAGAATGTATTATTTTTATATTCCAATCTAACAAAAATATGTATTTTTACTAATTGACCTATAAAACAAAACAACAAATTATACAGAAAAAGATACGTCATTTAAAACTTTTAAGTACTCTCTTAAACAGTTTTCAAAATGTTAGTTACGATCCTTTCATTGGAGTTGGCAATTTAATCATATGACAAACTCAACATCGTTTTTAAATTTAACACGAATTATTCATTATAACCATCGATTAAATTTTGTAATTTTACATTATGTAATGCATTTTTTTATCAAAAATAATAATTATTTCACAAAAGTTTTAGAAATGTAACATGAGTTAAATTAATGAATTTTTTTTTTCATTAGAAAACTGTCGCAGATATATTTACTACTCATCCTCAACTTGCATCTTCGAAGTATTATATTCACGTGTTGCAACTTTTACAATCAGGTAATGAAAAATGTTTCTTTATATTAATAAATTATATCTATCTACGCATAACATATCAATTAATAACAATGTTTCATTACTATAATATTATTTGATACTGTTTATAGGTCGTTTTCAAAATTTTGATTATGGTCCAATTGAAAATATAAAACATTATAATTCTACTATTGTTCCTGAATATAATGTTACAAAAGTAACGGCACCTTCAATCATTATCTACTCAAAAGATGATCTCGTTGTATCACCTGCGGTAAATATTTTATTGATATATTGTGTAACTACCACAGACTACATATAAAACTTTAATCAACAGCTCTAGTTATAGTTTTGTAAACAATTTTCAGGATATAAAATGGTTGTTGAATAATATGCCCAATATTAAAGAAACATATTTTATTCAAAAAGTACCATTCAGTCATTTCACGTTCTTACTTGGTGAAAAAGCTCATACTGTTTTACATCCTTATATTGTTAAGAAATTATTGGAAGACGGCAAAAAAAATACATTATAAATATCTAATCCCCTGAAGTATTATAAAAATTAAAAATTATAATGATATAATTTTTCTCTTTTATTTACTAAACTAGCTAAGATGGTGAAGACCATGTCTTCGCGCTAGCTTTTGTAAAAGTTTAGGCGCAAATTTTGTATCGATTACGAAATTTATTAACAATGTTAAAGAGATATCTGAGGACGTCTGGAAGTAAGTTTTGAAGAAACCAGATCTGTAGTTTGTTTGGCTTTAGCTACTGAATCCTTTACCCAATGCTAAGGTATAACTAATTTTACTACTTTAAACGACCTAACTAAAAAAACTATTGACTATATAAAATACTAAATAGCTATATAAAATAAAGATGAAAATAAATATAAATATAAAACTTGCAATGTAATAGGTACACCTTTATTTTGTGTATTATATTAGTATATTTTATTCAAATTTTAATTTTGATTGAGCCGATTGCAAATTTCGACAGAGTGTATTATCTCTTTTTGATAAGATGTTGTAATTTTGTTGGCATGCTTCCAAGATATTCAGCTGTGTTTACTACTTTAAATTGGTTCAATAGCAGCGTATGTGTGTACACTCAACTTGTTCCGCTCTTCTCTTCTTGTCATAAATGTCACTATGCGCTGACCATCACATTACATGCACCTGTTGATAGGTATTAATTTACATTTTTCTTATTAATTATCGGCTGTAATTATTGTAAAATCGTTGACCGTCCGCACCATTTCAATTATTGTTTATTTAAATTATTATTTATTTTGATATAGCTTGTTACGAGAATTATTGATATTATTTTGAATGATAAATCATTTATGATAATGTGGTGACGTAGTGCATACTTTTCTGGGATTTTTTCAACGTCATGCAAGCTAATTCTAACTGTTTAATATCAGTCATTTACTTAGGACGTATACCCTTCGTACTTAAGCGATACTACTGTTATCGACGGACAGTGGGTTGCCGAAGTCGTTCGTCAAATTCTCTTATCATAAAAGTTGTAGATGTAATTTTTTTATTATTTATGTCAGATTTTTTTTCAATTTCTTTGTTCTCTTTAATTTTTAGACAAGGTTTCTTGATCATTCAGTTTTTTACTGATATTAATTTAATTTTTTTTTTTATTTTATTAAGTCCCTGTAAATACTTTTAAGCATAAACTATTTTTCTTGCGTATTCCATTTTCAATGTACTTCTGATCCTTCAAAAATCATCTTACCCTATTTTATATAGTATGGGCAAAGGCCATTAATAAAGTCATCCCAACTTATCTTGGTTATGTGACTGTCAACGACTTAATGAACATCAGATACATCTTTAATTAATTTAAGTTTAAAAATATTTTTACAATCAATATTTTATTAGACATGGTCAATAATAAAACATTTTCTTTCTTGTTTCATAGCTTAACTTAAATACAAAATACAAAAGCTGAACAACATAATCCTTAATCAATTAACTCGTATAAACAAAAAATATCAGTAAACAAGAAAATACTAGTTTTTTTTAGGATTAATTGGATTATACACCCATAAAAATTAACAAATAATGATGATACATGAAATCTAATTTAACGATTTTTCTTTCAGTGTCAAAAACTATAAAGGAATGTTGTCATATTTATTTTTAAATATATTTACTATTAGAATTAAAGATAATTTTTATAAAAATATTGTGATATTATCAAAATTTTAAGCTTTTCACATTTTTTCACTTTTAACAACGATTATTTTAGTATGCTAGAAACATAAAAGTTATATTTTTAAAATCCTTGTAAAATTGTCTATCAGTCATAAAATATTTATAATTATAGGTTTAAGTCAAAAAAAATTTGTAGGATAAAGTTCAGCTTCATTTTTTATAAAATGACCGTCAATATCAACTTAAATCCATGTGTAAACTTAAGATATAATTACTTTATTTCTGCTAATTAGCAATTATCTCAAAAGCTAGAATCAATCTAAAAATTATAAGACCATATTCGGAATAAGCGACGAAGTTTTATTCTGAATTTATTATTATATTGTTTGGTGTAATAAAGTGTTGTGCAGTGTAATTTACATATTGTACAATATTAATCTAGTTGTCTTCTATTTTAATAAGAGTAATTTGTTTGCAACCATCTATTTTATAATGTACTATTACTGCTGCTGAGCTAAAAAAAATCTTTAATATTAAAATATTAACGATGATAACTGTCATAGAAAAAATAACATACGTAAAACCATGACGATAACTTCTGTCTACAAATGATTGTATAATTATAAGTTTATCATTCATTTCAATTTATATAAATATAGAAATTATTTGCAAATAATATTATTCACGATTTATATATGTTCAATTACCAAAATAAATAAAGTGCAGTCTAGATACAGTGAAGTGGAGTTGATGCATTTTTTTAATTAATATTAATTGGTATCCCCACCTATATTTTAGCTTCGTCGCGGCCCTTTAGGTACTCACTAAAAAAATATATTCTTACTTAAAGAAAATAAGTTAGAAAATCAAACATAAAATGTATATTTTATTATATGTAATATATTAAATTAGTCATTATAAAAATCATTATATTGACTTAACTACCAAAAACAAATCTTTTTTTAACCAAAACTAGTATAATAAAAATATAACAACATAAAACTATAATTTACAAATATTCAATACTCTATACAAATGGTTCGAATCAGGCTATAATTTAAAGAATAGTTCAGTATTATTTGTGCAAAATCAATGCAAAATGTTGGCAACATTTTTAGCGTAGTTGTACATTTTTTACATTTGAAAATTACTAAAATTATAATTAAATACAAGTTACAAAATTACTTCTTGAAAATATTAGTAATTTAATTAACTTTTTATCTATAATATTATCATAATGGTGTGTTAAAATTCTGAACACAAGAAAAAACAATGTAATTATTTATAGGTAGGTTAATCAGTGACATCGCCAGAAATCTTTTCGTGGAAAGGGTTGAAGAAATGATTATTATAATGATTTCTTTTGCTTTATCTGAAAGTACAAATTTTAGTAAATAATTCGGCCATTGCATCAAAAACCCCACAATATAGGTTATTAAAATATCATTTTATTTTAGATATTTCCTCAAGTAGTAATTCAAAAATTTTAAAAGACAAGTTATCGATATTTTGTATCTATAAATAATATTTTGACAAATTAACTATATTGTGGATGTTAGAGTTTTATTATAATTTAATGTATACTAATATGAAAATTAAAATAGTTAACAATTTTAGGTATTTCTAACGTTTATTGGATGCTTTATGAATTAATTAATATATAGTGTTCAGTACGTAAAGAAACGAGTTTCTGTTGTTCTCATTGTTTATATAATTTGACCTTTTCCCTTACTTACCGAACAACTTGTTTAAGCCATAAAAAGCCTAAAATAATTTATGTAGAATAAAATAGCCAAATGATAAAATCAAGGAGGTGTAGAGACAAAATGTTAACTAGTTTAAAATTTAAATAAACTTGGCCTATACAAATACAAAATTTATTGAAATAAAAATATTTAATAAATATTCTAAAAAGAGTATGTAATAATAAATGAACAAAAATTTTTATTATAAAATAAAAAAAAGCCAGTNTATCCCCACCTATATTTTAGCTTCGTCGCGGCCCTTTAGGTACTCACTAAAAAAATATATTCTTACTTAAAGAAAATAAGTTAGAAAATCAAACATAAAATGTATATTTTATTATATGTAATATATTAAATTAGTCATTATAAAAATCATTATATTGACTTAACTACCAAAAACAAATCTTTTTTTAACCAAAACTAGTATAATAAAAATATAACAACATAAAACTATAATTTACAAATATTCAATACTCTATACAAATGGTTCGAATCAGGCTATAATTTAAAGAATAGTTCAGTATTATTTGTGCAAAATCAATGCAAAATGTTGGCAACATTTTTAGCGTAGTTGTACATTTTTTACATTTGAAAATTACTAAAATTATAATTAAATACAAGTTACAAAATTACTTCTTGAAAATATTAGTAATTTAATTAACTTTTTATCTATAATATTATCATAATGGTGTGTTAAAATTCTGAACACAAGAAAAAACAATGTAATTATTTATAGGTAGGTTAATCAGTGACATCGCCAGAAATCTTTTCGTGGAAAGGGTTGAAGAAATGNTTACATTTGAAAATTACTAAAATTATAATTAAATACAAGTTACAAAATTACTTCTTGAAAATATTAGTATTTTAATAAACTTTTTATCTATAATATTATCATAATGGTGTGTTAAAATTCTGAACACAAGAAAAAACAATGTAATTATTTATAGGTAGGTTAATCAGTGACATCGCCAGAAATCTTTTCGTGGAAAGGGTTGAAGAAATGATTATTATAATGATTTCTTTTGCTTTATCTGAAAGTACAAATTTTAGTAAATAATTCGGCCATTGCATCAAAAACCCCACAATATAGGTTATTAAAATATCATTTTATTTTAGATATTTCCTCAAGTAGTAATTCAAAAATTTTAAAAGACAAGTTATCGATATTTTGTATCTATAAATAATATTTTGACAAATTAACTATATTGTGGATGTTAGAGTTTTATTATAATTTAATGTATACTAATATGAAAATTAAAATAGTTAACAATTTTAGGTATTTCTAACGTTTATTGGATGCTTTATGAATTAATTAATATATAGTGTTCAGTACGTAAAGAAACGAGTTTCTGTTGTTCTCATTGTTTATATAATTTGACCTTTTCCCTTACTTACCGAACAACTTGTTTAAGCCATAAAAAGCCTAAAATAATTTATGTAGAATAAAATAGCCAAATGATAAAATCAAGGAGGTGTAGAGACAAAATGTTAACTAGTTTAAAATTTAAATAAACTTGGCCTATACAAATACAAAATTTATTGAAATAAAAATATTTAATAAATATTCTAAAAAGAGTATGTAATAATAAATGAACAAAAATTTTTATTATAAAATAAAAAAAAGCCAGTACAGGGGGGTCGCAGCACAGTGGTGACGTGGCATAGTTGGATCAAGTATAATGATATCTGACAGTGATTTAAATCACTATCAAAAAAAACGCTTCGATGCAAGTCTTTAGATAGTGTTTAATTTTAAAAAATTGGTGAATTATTCCAAAAGCTACATGATCTGCTAGTTCCTTATTAATACCCTGATTAAGATAAAGTATGTCGAATGAAAAAGGGATTATTAAAAAATATTATTTCTTATAAAAAAATTGTGTTGATTCATACACTTTTCAATAAGTTATAGCATTATAAAGTTAAAAATGTAAAAAATAAAATTGAGAATTTTCACACAAAAATAGCATTTGGTAGCCATTTTCACCGTGAAGACCAAATAAAGTCCAAAATTTTTTTTTTTCATAATAAAGTATATTACATTAGCTTTAATTTAAGATATATATAAAAGTGTCAGTATTTCCGGAACACTTTCAAACGTTAAGATGAAAAAGTAAATTTTTTGTAAAAAAGTTGTACTTTTGAATCCCCCCCCCCCGTAGGCAAGTAAAGGGTCATATTTATAAAAAAAATATACCAAATGAAAGGTAAAAACATTATACATCCATAAAAAAAAGAATTATATTGATCCATACATCTTTCAAAAAGTTATAGCATTATAAAGTTAAAAATATGAAAAAGAATTTTTGTACAAAAATCGTAATTTTTTTATTAACTTTGATGTCTGTTTTCACCATGAAGATAAAATAAAGTCAGAAATTTTTTTTTTTCCATAATAAAGTATATTACATAAGCTTTAATTTAAGGTATATATAAAAGTGTCAGTATTTCCAGTACATTTTTAAAAGTTAAGTTGAAAAAGTTAATTTTTTGTGATAAAGTTGTTATTTTAAATCCCCCGCTGTGGGCAGGTCTTGGGTCAAATTTATAAAAAAAATATGCCAAATTATAGGTAAAAACATCAAGCATCTATAAAAAAAAATTATATTGATATGTTCATTTTTGAAAAAGTTACGACAGTTTTAAGTAAAAAAAATTGAAAAAATTTCAAAAATTGGCGATTTTTAAATTTGTAATTTTTTTGGAGGTATCCCCCATTTACGGAGAACGAGGGAAATTTTTTCAATTTTTGAGGGTAATGTCTTCGACTAAAAAAAAAAAAACACATCATAGTAAATAAAAATTTCTAAATACATGACTGTTAAATTTTATTTACAAAGTGCTGATGCTGTAACTCAAATTCTTTTGTAAAGTTAATTTAACAAATAAGAAAATATGCTATCAGAACCGACTTTAACTATTTTAAAGCTCAGTTTTTATATATAAGGGTGAACGAAATCTGGTAAGACACTTATTTTCTCAGAAACTATTGAGAATTTAAAATTTTTGTAAAAAGAAAAATTATTAAGTTTATAAAACTCTACAATAATATGAAGTTAAATAAATTTTTTTTTATCCCTTCAGGGATAAAAATATTTATTTATAATTTTTTTAAATAGGAACCACTATTTTTGATTTGATAATATGATAGAAAAAAAAAAATTACAAACAATTTTGTTCTTATAATTTTTTTATCCGACACAACCGTTTACGTTTTATAATTGTTTAAAGATTTTGACTTCCAGAAAAAATATTGTCATTTATAACGTTTCATAATAACGGTAGCGGTGCAAATAAAAATAATGACTTCTGTATTTAATACAGTAAAATGACAATAGAAATTTGGCCTAAAATCCCTTAACTTAAACAAGCTGTAACGTACGAACGGTTAATCGGATAAAAAAAATTATAAGAACAAAATTGTAATTTTTTTTTCTATCATATTATAAAGTTAAAAATAAGGGTTCTCATTTAAGAAAATTATAAATGAGGGTTTTTATCCTTGAAGGGACGAAAAAAATAAGGGTTTGACTACATATTATTGTAGAGTTTTTTAAACTTGATATTTTTTCTCTATAATAAAGTTTAAAATTCTCAATATTTTTTGAGAAAATAAGTGTTTTACCAGATTTCGATCACTCTGTATATGGTATCAATTAAAAAAATAATAATTCTTTTTTTCCTTTAAATTCTTATAAAAACAAAGACTTTAACTCATGATATTATCATGACTCCAAATTGTAGTTACCATTGCTGGTATCAATTGTATGGAAAGCCGGCCCTAATACACATACGAGGTCTGTTCACAAAATAACGGTTATATTTGTTTTTTAATTTATTTTTTGTCTACATTATGTTGTCGCCTTCAGAAATGTCCCCATTAGATATTATATGTGCCAACGTTTCTTCCAATCCTCGAAACACTTCTCAAACTCTTTGGGATAGCCTTCAGCTTATTCAGCGATACGCTTTTAATGTCATTTATGCTTGTAAAACGACGGCCCTTTAAGGTTCTCTTTATTTTGAGAAACAGAAAAAAGGTCACACGGAGGCTTGTCGGGCGAATATGGAGGCTGAGGCAACGTTACAGTGTTGTTTTTGACCAAAAACTAACAAGCAATGAAGTGTGAGCAGGTGCACTATCGTGGTGCAAAAGCCATGAATTGTTTCCCACAAATATGGGCGTTTTTTTCGGATTGCTTCTCGTCAAACGGCGTTGAACTTGTAAGTAGTATTCCTGATTGACCGTTTGACCTTGTGGCAAGAATTCATGATGCACTAAGCCAATAAAATCGAAGAATACAGTAGGCATAACCTTCACGTTCGATCGCTCTTGTCGAGCCTTTTCATCTGTTATAACACGTTTCAGTAATTCTGCATCGTCGTTGATTTCTTTATGTGACTCTTGAGTAGGCCCGGTCGCAAGGGGGGGGTTTTGGGGGTTCAAACCCCCCCATTGACGAAAAAATATATATCATGTTTTTCATTTTTAATTGATTATATTAGATATTTGATTATCTTATTTGTTATAAAAATTGCAGAGGACTGTTAGCATTGCATATTCTTTTTGGTTTACACGTTTTAATTAATTATTTATTTTATTAATAAACCGTTAAAAAATGTATTTATAAGAGCTTATTTCAGGATTTTTAAGTGCATAAGTGCACGCATAATCAGTTTTTTTAGGGGACAGAAGTCTTGTGCTCTAGTTATAAAATAATAATGCATAACATAATAGCACACCACTATTATTGTGTTACTCTCGTGTTTGGTGTTTATCGGTTTCCGTTTCCTTTTCAATTACTATCAGCAATAAAAACATTAGAATTTCAAATTTCAATTCACGTTTTAAATTCAGTACATGCATTGTCTTTATCATTGAGTAGAGTTTTACAAGCGGAAAATCAAGATTTAGTCGAGGCCGTGAAGTTGGCAGATGCAGCAAAACACGAACTTGAGGAAAGAAGACAATATTCTACAGATAACTTCAACACAATTTTTGTAACTGTAGAAGATATTTGCAATAAGTACAATATACCTGTGAATAAACCTAGACTTGCCTCACGTCAAATTAACCGTTCTAACATTATAACCGACTCTGTAAAAGATTATTACAAAATTATTATTTACATACCATACCTTGATTTATTTATTACTCATCTTCAAGATCGCTTCCTCAAGCATCGTAATATTTTGTCAAACTTCTCATGTCTTTTTCCTATTGAAACAAAATCTTTAGACAAAGATTCATGTAAAAAGTTATTTGAAACTTATTGTTCAATTTTACACGACGATTCCCCAGAAATTTGGATAAATGAGATAGAAATTTGGCGACGACGACAAGCTGGTAAAAATATTCGAAACGCCCTCGATGCCCTCGATATTTGTAATTCAGATTCGTTTCCAAATGTTCATAAAATGTTATGTGTAATGTCAGTTTTGCCGGTGACTACAGTGACTAATGAAAGGTCATTTTCAACATTACGTCGGCTTAAAACCTATTTAAGGTCATCTATGGGTGAAGATCGTTTAAACGGACTAGCTTCGTTGGATATCCATCGTGACATAAACGTGGATATCAACGAAGTATTAAACGAATTCTTTTCTACTCATCGTAGATTAAATTTATTAAAAAAATAATTTTTAATTTTATAGTTTTATCATGATTTATTTATATTATAAATATATAGTATATAATATTAGGTAGTTATTGATTTATCTATTAAATATAAATCTTTTTTAAAAGACCCCCCCCCATTGTCAAATCCTGCGCACGGACCTGCTCTTGAGTAACTTATATTCGCCGCTGTTTTCGTTAAAAATTCAACAATTTTGGAATGAATTTTGCTGCTACACATTTCATATCCAAAAAATTCAAAAAAATTTCATAGCATGATCCAATTGATATTACAACATCAACAGTGACTTTTCTGATTGTATTGGGCAATCGTACATAACCATTTCTTTCACTTTCCACGTTTTCATCAGTTGTTGATGGGTTGGGACGTCCGGGACATTCGTCATCTTCAACGTCTTCACGGGCATTTTGGAAACGTTTATACCACTTGTAAACCCTTGTTTTACTCATGGCAGACCAGGCACGTAGCCAGAAAATGTTTATTGGAGGTGCCAACAATTTTGGGCCTTTGTATCATTTTCCATAATTTGTTTCCCATGAAAAGCTTGTGAGGGGGGGCTCCCTCCACTCATCCTTAGACAGTATCTCATACTATGAATCTTACAAGTTCAAAATTTTACCATTGGTTGGTTAAAAACAAATTGTTTTCATATAAAGTATACTAATTATTACAGTATTATAAAAAATGGATAATACCTATAATTAAAAAAAAAAAAAAATACTTTCATCTTCACTATCGGGANTTGGTAGTTTGTTATCATTTGTTGGACCAGAGTTTAAAAAAATTTACCTACACCACGTTTGGAGTAACTGCTATTCCATTTATTATTACGTCTAGAACGTTATTTTTTAAAATAACGTTTACTATGATTATAAAAATGTAAATACAGCCATAATAATAACTGTATTATCCAATAGTAATCACAAATTAATAATAATTTCAATGTATATAAGGCCTAGCACGTTTTTGATAATTCATAAAAATAATAGAATTTTAAATTTGAGGGGGCCAGCCCTGGGTCACATTAAATATAAGGGGGGCTAGGCCCACTCATGTCTACGTGCTTGTGGCAGACTCACCATAGGCCTTGTTAACACATCACACATTTTGCTACACTTTATTTCATTTTTTTAACTCCCACTGACAGAGTAAAAACTGAATCCGGTTGAAAATTTTGTCATACTTCTGACACATTTGTACTAAAATTATAAAAATTTTGTTTAATAATCACTTTCCAAACCCGCGAAATTTACAAATTCCCGTTATTTTTTTAAGACATCTCGTATAATACACTATAGTTGTTTATTTATTCTAGTATGATGCATCACATCAAATTCAAATTTACTTGTAAATTAAAAATAAATATTATATCACGCCTTTGCATAATGAATTTGGTGCTTAAATAAAAGAAAAACAATAAAAACATATCTCTGCTTGTTGTCAAGGATATTAATGTAATCATAGAGTTACAGTTAGTACCAAAAATTACAATCATAAATAATTATTAACTGTACGCTATGTAATTTTATGATTAGAAACGATACCGCTTAATAAAATAATGTGAATAAAAATAGTAATTAATATTTTTAATTAATATTTTTCCCGTGAAATTACAATGTTTTAATCGGCAATTTAATGATTTGTACTAATAAAGATATTTGAACGCAAGAGTAGCTAATATCTCAATAAAAGTTAAAAAAAAACAGTAATATCTTAAAATGGGATAACTTTAATCATTTTTTACTGTTTTTTCATGTTATTTATTTTGTATCCTACTAGATTATTTTTTTAACGTTTGGATCAAATATATCTTACTTCATGTATTATATATAATAGCTGAAAATTTTATCTAATGATCAATATTACCAATTTATTTATTTTAACAACTATTTAATTAATTTTTCAACTTTACCATGCTAAATATCATTCGTAAACTTAAATAAACTTAATTAACAAAAAATCTTTTTTTTCCTCATAAATTTTTACATAAAATAGTTGATTGATAATATAAAACTAAATATAGTAATTATTTACTAGACTATCAAGGATATGTTTTAACACTACTATCCTTAAACAAAGACATGAGGTATTTTCACATTAAAGTCACTAGGGTACCTTTGTAGAAATTAAAAGTTACACTAATTGTAGTATTAAAGTTACCCCATAGCAATAATACATGTGCACTATTTAGACCATAATAAATTTTAGTGTTTTATTTTTCAATATTAATGATACTACTAAGGGATATATATATAATTATTCACCAATTTTGGTGGTATTTATAATTAACGCACATCTTAATTTTAATGTGGGTAATTTTTGTTTTTATAAGTACAATATACTTAGTACATGTTGTAACTGTAAATTTTCGCATCTAATTAATAAGATAATATTTTCGAAGTATATCATTAGATAGCACACTTCATGCATTAAAAAGCCATGTAAATAAAAAACAAATTAGTACACGTTCGCATTGATTAGAAAAATTGATTTTAAATGAAAACTGCATTTTCAAAGTTTGTCCCCATAATCAAAGTTATCCTATTTTACGGTACTGTAAATTAACAATATGTGCTTTGATGACATCAAATTGATGTTAAGAATTCAAGAATATTAAACAAAATATAAATAAACAAGTCCTGTGGTTGTAGATTCTATAAAATAAGCACTTATTAATAAAAAAAATAATTAATGCAGGATTAAAAAAAATTTGAAAAACATGCAACTTTGTGTAAAATTTCTCGATTTTAATTTTTTCATGATTTTGCAATAATACTACCAGTTGGTACAAAAAAAAATTGTCTATTGTAGGAATGTTTTTCTGAGTATTTCGGGGCCGCTTATTCCGAAGATTGCCCTATTAGTTCTTGTTTTTGATATTATGTGTATTTTTAATTTTTGAATGTTTGTAATCTTTGAAAGTACCTAAATTTTGTAATAACTGTCAATAATCAAATAATAATATATCACATGAAAGCTACTATCATAGAAAATATAATACAATATTAAGAAGTTCAAGGTGAGAAAGAAACTTTATTAACATCCTATGTTCTATAATTTAAAAAAAATGTGTTCCTATTCCCCCTCTTTCCTCCTTGAAAATTTATCAACTTTATTTTTTAAATCTAAACTTATATGATTAACTAACTTACAAACTAGAAAATGATCTATCTAAAAAAATTACTAATTTATAACAAATTTCGGACCATTATTTTGAAATCTATTAACTCTTTAATATAAAAACTGAAGTTTTTATCTCCTGTATTGTTAAATTCGCTAATATGTTTTGTAATACTAGTTTGAAAATTATTTTCCATTTAAAAAACTAAATTAAATACATTGTGTGATTCATAGTTACAAAATTACTCTGTATAACTCTTTTATGTTTTTGAAAATTTACTTAATAGATTTAATAATTAAATTATTAAATAAATATAGACGTTTACAATTTTTAGAGTTAGCCAATAATATTTCAAATTAAACGCTTATTTATTGGTTGTTTCTGAATTACGCTATAAAATATTAGTTGAGAATGAAATTTCAGTCAGTATTATTATTATAAACACAAAAGACACATTCCATATCTCAACATGTATAATTTAATTAATATTTTTAATAATTAATGATTTGTAATATATTCAACATGGAAATTATTATAGTTCGATATTTTTCAATAGTTGTTTTAACTTTTCTTAGCATAAAGTCTTATGTTTTATCTTTAACTGCTGTAAGTTACTAATAATAAATTATTTAATGATGTTTTTAACAAAATAAAAGTGTTTCGTTTAATATTTAAACATATATAATAATTTTTATAAATTGAGTGATTAATAATTAAACAATATATAGAAATTAATTTTTAATTTTTTAATAAAATATTATTTTATATTTAGTCGGATAAAATAATTTCATACGGATATCCTCTCGAAATATACCAAGCCAAAACAGAAGACGATGCTTTACTCGGAATAGAAAGAATACCTCATGGTAAACAATTTAATGGAACTATTGGAAGGCCAGTAATTCTCATGGATCCTTTTGTAACTAGTTCATTAGTTTATGTTATCAATAATGTTTCCATTGGTAATTTTAAACAATAAATAGACATACAAAAGACTCGATAATAGCAAATATAAAAATCAAAAAACATCGTGACCACTTAATAAATGCTTTTTTTAATATACGAATGCCTAAAACCAAACAATTTTATATCATCTTTTAAGATATATATAGATATCAATACAATAACGAATAATGAAATAACTCCATTCATAAATCATCTCATGCCTCAGTTAGGTAGCCATAATACTAAAAAAAGTCTGAAAGGGTATGCCTTTGAAAAATAAATGAAAAATATTAACTTAACTATAAGTAATTTATCACGCTAAATATTTAATTAAAATGTTTTTTTTTCTTTTAAACCACAATAATTGGCCAATGCCCCCAAAGACGTATTTTTAAACATTTTTGTACTTTAAAAAAATATTTAGTCTGACTCGTGTTTTTTTAAGTCTAGTTTTATCTTAATCTCGTGTTTTAATTTTTTTATCTCTGCTAAATCGTTCAAAATAAACAGATATTTAGTTAAGATAGAATTACAAATGTTTTTTATAATGCAGCTTTCAGTTTGGCTGATGCCGGTTTTGATGTTTGGATGCCCAATTATAGAGGTATGGGCTTATCTAAACATGTCAAAGATCCAAAAACAGGAAAAGTACGTAAACTATCTCAAATGAATTGGAACTTCAGGTACATAACCAAAGATATTTGTATGAATTTGGTTTTTAAAAACCCGTTCTTTGTAGTATCCATGATCTTGGAATTTACGATTTTCCAACGTCTATTGATTTTGTCTTGAATCACACAAATTATTCCAAAGTAGACGTATTGGGAGTTTCTTTAGGACCAACTATAATACTAATTGGTTTAGCAGAAAAACCCGAATACAATAAAAAAATCCGTAATAACATCATGATAGCACCTGCTGCGAAATTGTCTAACGTAATGCATTATAAAATTTATGAAAAATATGTACTTTTTCCTTTGGCAATTGTAAGTGTGAATTTTACGTTATTTATTTTTTACATGTTTAATTGATTAGTTAAAAATATATACTCTAATTTTCAAATATTATTCAATTGCACGACTTTACAATCAGTTAATCATTTTTTATTTAATTAAAAAAGTTATGTTTATAAATTCAAAAATACTAGTTTATTAACTAATAGTTGATAGAACTTAATATTTTGCAAATGAAATGGATTACTTAATTTATCATTCTTTAACAATTATAGAAAATATTTTATTTTATAGTTTTATTTTCATGGCAGTAGGCATTTATTAATTTTAATGTTTAATGTGAACTCTAAAGTTATAAAAAGTATTTAAATAAATAAAGAGTATTTGTATTTGCTTTTAAATATATTCTTATCAAAGTATTTAAAATATATTCTAAATATGATTTGACATTATTTTTACTTCTATTTAAAAGCATTTTTGACATCACTAATTAAATACAAATTTAACCCTATTACATTTTATTTCATCACTATCTTTATTTAAAATTTTTTATGATTATTTTAGAAAATTCTAGAGAGATTTAACTACCTAGTCCCCGTTCCAGATACAGATAATAATATCCTAGGATACTTTTGTAAAAGTATTTTTTATCGCCATCTGTGTGTCATCACTATGAATTATATCCAAGGATCGAATACTCCATTGGATTATGTAAGAAATATGATTATCTAATAAACTGACAAACATATCGTTAACGATGTGTATAAATTAATAATAATTATTAACTTATAAATACATAGGTGTGCGTATAGAAACAGCAGAAATTCGCATGTAAGTGCTTGACTATCTTTATTTAAATCAGATTTAAATACAAAAATTGATTTAAGCATAAGTTGATTGAAATATCTTTTTTATAAAATTTTAGTAAAAGGTAAGATGCCATAAAAGTGGAGGAAAAGTTTTGTGGTACTCGTATTTAAAGGCAAAGGAGACATATATGAATGTGGAAATTATAAAGCTTATGAGTCATATTGTGAAGATTTGAAAAAAGTTGATAGATAAGAGTATAAGAAATGAACATCTTTAACTAAAAACCAGTTTAGTTTTTTGCCTGAAATGTAAACGATGAAGCAGTTTTTCGTGTGAGACATCTAATAAAAAAATAAAAGGAGAAAAAAAATTTTGTATAATTTTTATAAATTTAAAGAAAGCGTATGATAGAGTGCCCAAAAGAAGTTTTAAAATGGGCATTAAATAGAAAAAGAGTCCTAAAAACGTATATTGATGTAATAAAAGATATATAAGAAGGTATTTATACTAAGGTAAAAATTGTGTGGAGAAACAAAGAATTTCAGGGCAAGAGTAAATGTACACTTAGGTTCTACTTTAAGCCCTTGTCTACTTTCTGTAGTAATGGATAAAATTAGTAAGGAATTATAGCAATTCACGCTGTTTTCTAATGATATAGTGTTAATAGAAGAAAATAGGGAAGAAATTATTTTCTGAAATTGAAAGTAATGTTGACGTTACAATGATGCAGTCCGATCTAAATTCATTCTGTAACTGGTCTTATTTTTTCTTACTCGTTTGGCCTTATAGTGATTAAGGCCAGTTTTCTCCCAATTATCACCGTTCTTTTTATGTAGTGTTTCCTCTTCTTAAACAATCTACTAAATTATTTACTTATCGTGATTTCAATTCTGCGCCAACTCTTTTCTTTCCTCATTTAATTAGGTACTTTCCTAATATAATGTCGATGAGGCATACGCTGTCTTTTAATGATGCCCTCCTTCTCTGTATAAACAGATTTGATCCCCTTAAAACGTATAAAAGTTTCCACTTTCCTATGGTCACAACCATCCATTGCGCATCGTATGTTCTGTGTTGCTCGTCAGCGAATTTCTTATACTGTTTTCTTTATAACATATGACGATTTTTTTTGTTTTATTTTATTTGGTATATAATTGTATTTTTTGTTCGACATAATATAAAAAGACGAAGATAAAATAGTACATATTATGTACTATTTTGTCTTTATCATCTTTCCACTAATTGTTCGTATTTACAATATTAAATACCATTTTATTGTCGTATTATATACTTATTTAATATTTTAACATATGTAATCATACTAGTAGAAATTTATACACATATTTCTATCTCTTACTATATTATTGTTGATTACTACATTGTACTAATATAAAAAGCCGTTTTGGTGTATATTATTTTATATATTATTATTATAAATAAATAAACGTCATAAAATGTGAACCGATTGGAATAGATTAGAATAATTGTAGAAGTACAGAGAGGTCAAGAAAAACCTTCACATTTAGATTATACCATACATTAGTTTGGTTAAGATTTGAGAGTTGATAAACCTAATTTAGTTAGTCAATAGATGAAAGTTATTTTTGAATGATTGGTTAATAATTGCTTCAAAAAGTTTTTGCCCATCGTATCATTTCACACAATTGTGAAATTGAATGGTCTCTAAAACCACCAGATTTATTGCATATTTATTTTTTGTGGGGCTATTTTAAAGGAAAATTTTACACTAATATAAGCCTAGAATATTGGAAGATATACAAAAAAATATTCTTTATTGAATTTAAATTAATAAGGACCAATACGTTCACACGAGTTATTAGAAGTTTTCGCATATACCTCTAAGAGTGCATTCTAAATAAAGGATAACATTTAACGGGTGTTATTTTTAAATCCTAAATTTTTTGTTAAAAAAAAATATATGAAGAATACGTTTGTCTTCTATTTTATTTTATTTAAGGAAATCTTTTAACCTTTTTTCTTTGAAGTGCAAGTTATTACAAGAATAAAAAGATTCTAACTTTAAATTTAGTGTAAACTATTCATTTATTTAGAAATTTTAAGATAGATAAAATATTTCATTATACTACTATAATTTAGTTGTACCTTATCATTCTAAAGAAATATTTAGGCATTCCTCTAATTATTTATGGTACTTAAAAGGTAGAACTTTTTCCATCCAATAAATTTCCGCAGTAGTATACAGGGTGATTTTTTTATCATAACCCAGTCAATTACTTATAGAATAATAATAATTTAAAAATGTTTTTTATTATTATCTTTAGTTACACATTATTCTTGAATTATTAACTATGTAATACTTTTTAGGTTCATCCCTTATGCCTGGTAAGGGTGTCGACTTTGTTTTTTTAAACGGTAACACATATTTTTAATTTAATAAAATGTTTGAGTTTTTAATTCAATAATAAATGGCATTTGAATTTTTAATAAAACTTAATTTGTTTATTAGATATAAAGATTTAAAGTTTAAAACTTTGAGTTAATATATAGGTATAATACACAAGGGATTACAAATACAGGTAGCTAATTGGTTTTTTATAACATCGATATTAGCAGGTACACAGCATTGTTATTATCAATGATAGTAAGGTACATTGTTGTGAGTTTATAAATACACTAACTGACAATACTAAAAGTATATCTATTGATAGTCATAATTAATAATAAACAATCCGTGACTGTGATAGCAATATCATAAAAAACCAATTAGCTACCTGTGTTTGTAATCCCTTGTGTATTATACCTATATATTAACTCAAAAATTTTAAACTTTAAATGTTTATATCTAATAAACAAATTAAGTTTCATTAAAAATTCAAATGCCATTTACTATTGAATTAAAAACTCAAACATTTTATTAAATTAAAAATATGTGTTGCCGTTTAAAAAAACAAAGTCGACACCCTTACCAGGCATAAGGGATGAACCTAAAAAGTATTACATAGTTAATAATTCAAGAATAATGTGTAACTAAAGATAATAATAAAAAAAAATGTTTAAATTATTATTATTCTGTAAGTAATTGAGTGGGTTATGATAAAAAAATCACCCTGTATAGTGTTCAGTACGTAAAGAAACGAGTTTCTGTTGTTCTCATTGTTTATAAAATTTGACCTTTTTCCTTACTTACCAAACAACCTGTATAAGCCATAAAAAGCCTAAAATAATTTATGTAGAATAAAATAGCCAAATGATAAAATCAGGGAGGTGTAGGGGCGAAATGTTGGCTAGTTTAAAATTAAAATAAACTTGGCCTTTACAAATACAAAATTTATTGAAATAAAAATATTTAATAAATATTCAAAACTTTTTATTATTAAATAAAAAAAAAATTTCCTTAACTACTCACCCAAATATAAATTTCTAAATACATGACTGTTAAATTTTATTTACAAAGTGTTGATGCTGTAACTCAAATTCTTTTGTAAAGTTAATTTAACAAATAAGATAATATGCTATCAGAACCGACTTTAACTATTTTAAAGCTCAGTTTTTATATACAGAGTGAACGAAATATGGTAAGAAACTTATTTTCTCAGTAACTATTGATAATTTCAAATTTTTGTAAAAAGAAAAATTATTAAGTTTATAAAACTCTACAATAATATGAAATCAAATAATGTTTTTTTTATCCCTTCAGGGATAAAAATGTTTATTTATAATTTTTTTAAATGGGAACCACTATTAGCTTCGATGCGAAGCTGAGAAGGTATTGGTTTTACTATGATGTGTTTTTTTTTTTTTGTGTCTGTTACCACCTTTTCTCATCTCTCACCGAACGGATTTCTTTCAACGATACATCAAAAGATCACAAATCGTATCTAGTCGAAGACATTACCCTCAAAAATTGAAAAAATTTTCTCCGTAAACAAGGGAAACCTCCAAAAAAATTACAAATTTAAAAATCGCTAATTTTCGACATTTTTTTCAATATTTTTTACTTAAAACTGCCATCATTTTTTTAAAAATAACTAAATCAATATCATTTATTTTTATAAATGCATGATGTCTTTACCTTTCATTTAGTATATTTTTTTTTATATGTGACCCTTTACTTGCCCACAGGGGGGGATTTAAAATGACAACTTTATCACAAAAAATTAATTTTTTCAACTTTTTTTTAATTTATTTTTTGTCTACATTATATTGCCGCCTTCAGAAAAGTCCCCACTAGATATTATATGTGCCAACGTTTCTTCCAATCCTCGAAACACTTCTCAAACTCTTTGGGATAGCCTTCAGCTTATTCAGCGATACGCTTTTAATGTCATTTATGCTTGTAAAACAACGGCCCTTTAAGTTCTATTTATTTTGGGAAACAGAAAAAAGGTCACACGGAGCCTTGTCGGTCGAATATGGAGGCAGGGGCAACATTACAGTGTTGTTTTTGACCAAAAACTCACTAACAAGCAATGAAGTGTGAGCAGGTGCACTATCGTTGTGCAAAAGCCATAAATTGTTTCCCATAAATACGGGCGTTTTTTTCGGATTGCTTCTCTTCAAACGGTGTTGAACTTGTAGGTAGTATTCCTGATTGACCGTTTGACCTTGTGGCAAGAATTCATGATGAACTATGCCAATAAAATTGAAGAACACAGTGGGCATAACCTTCACGTTCGATCGCACTTGAGCCTTTTCACCTGTTATAACACGTTTCAGTAATTCTGCATCGTCGTTGATTTCTTTATGTGACTCCTGAGTAACTTATATTCGCCGCTGTGTTTATTAAAAATTCAACAATTTTGGAACGAATTTTGCTGTTACACATTTCATATCCAAAAAATTCAAAAAAATTTCATAGCATAAGCCAATTGATATTACAACATCAACAGTGACTTTTCTGATTGTATTGGGCAATCGTT